ATACAATAATGTATCAATGGAAAAGAGATAATCTATTTTCCAATTGCAAAAAGTAAAGCCAATCAAGCAGCCACAATCGCCAACCACTTAAAGCCTCAATTAATAATTAACTACTACTCCCTGGGATTTCTTGGGGCTTTGTGCTGCAGCGGTGAATGGAATATAGATAGCCATTATTCTTCTTTTGCGTACTTTCACTTTTAATTAGAACACTGACATTAACCCTTCTTTTTTTGTTGTTGTTGGTTCTTCTCTTTCGCACAATGAAGTCAATTAATCGTCTTAAATGCCAGGCAGTCATCAGCCAACCAGCAGTGACGCCATTTGTTGTAGCCGGGACACAAAAGAAATGGGATGTGTTTTACAATCAAAAGTAATGCATTGGCATCAGCATCATCAGCACCACCAGCATCAGCGTCGTTAGTTTTTAGTTAGTTGTCGTTAACGGAAAAGCCAATAAATCCAAGTCGTGCAATAAAACAACCAGCCAGCCACACCTGTTTGAGGAATGCGCTCGGTTATAGTACGGTACGTGCCTGAATGCAAAGCCAGAGCCAGCTAGCTAGCTTTGCTGGCTGGCTGACTGGTGCAAAATGTGCAGCGAGTGTGTATGTGTGTGAGAGTGTTTGCCTGTGTGTTCGTGTGAGTCTCGGATTCTGTGAATCGCCAAAGGAATTACATTCGCATTTACACTTGACTTCTGAAAAGTAACTACGTCATCATTGTTGTTTTTGTTTTCATGTTTTGTATTTGCTTTCATGTGAAAATATGCGTGAGTGCGTTTTTAGGTGAGTACCGTAATGTGTGTGTGTGTCTCTGAGTTATTTGGCCCAACGAGAGAAGAGCAATGGTTAAAGGAATGAAATAATAAAAAAAAACAGAAAGTAAACAACCGTAATGCACTCAAAAGTGACCAAAAAGGGAAGAGAAAATACCGAGCAATAAAAAAAAATCAACAACGGCAACAACAATGGATATATAAACACACAAACGCACACACACATGTTTACACCCTCCGTCATTGTGCCGAGAAACATGACAGCGCCATTAAATGTCAAACACCGACAAAGCCGAGAAAAAGGAAAGCTTACTTTCTCTGGAGCTTACTGGAGAAATCGGCCAGAAATACAACGGCATGGATGACAGGCAACACAGAAACGACGACCCCACAACAACGACGACGACCGACAGACTCACACAGAGAAATGTATGCACTTTTACTGCCTGGCATCACATTCGATTGGAAACTATCAACATCCTCTTCGTTGGCGTCGTCGTCGTTGATGTTGTTGTTGTCGTCCTTATCATCGTCGTTGTCGCTGTTGCTGTCGTTGTAAAGTTCTTTTTTAGGCCACCTAGAGGGTGTGGTTCCCTATTGCCTGAATATTTGATAGTTTGACACAGATTCCGTTAATACGAACGAGGGACCATCAGACACACACACACCCGAGCACGAAGAGCAAATGTAACAAACCAGCGAACGAATATTGGATCAAAGCAAAAAGGGCAAAATGTGAGTGCAAACAGCAATAACACCAACAACAACTACAACGGCGGCAACAGCAGCAGCATCGGCAAAAAAGAGCAGCATCACAAACACTTTGCATTGGATTTGCATAGCGGCATGCCGAGTTATTTTTGAATCATCGTTGTCATCATCTTCTTCTTCGTTGTCTTCCGTTAAAACAACCGCCAAGCTAACCAATACAATACAACAAGTTAGATGACACCCACACACCTACAAACCAGGCAAATGTTGTCGTTAATGCAAAATTATGATAACAATGTGATGGTTGCTCTCTCTCTTTAGTAGAACATCATGGAATCATCAGTGAAGGCAGACGTAGTCAATCATCCATCCATCCACACAGTCATCAGTTAGTCACTTTTGTAGTTGATTTTGTTGTTGTTGTTCTTGCGTTCTTTTATCTTTGCCGTGCAAGTGATGTGCATTATTTTTTTGCTTGGTGCGAGCTGGTTTTTTTACTCGCTCAATTAAGATTTGCAAATTATGAATGAAAGTCCGTTTTTGTCAGAGTTGCCAGATTGATGGGGAATATGTGAAGGGAAATGTATGGAGAATCTTATCGGATTTTTTTTATTAGTCAAAGAAATCAGAGATTTTTAAAAATATTTTTATGAAAAACATTTGTGGGCAAAAATTGTTTAATTACCTTTTTAAAATTAAAAACATTGTATTTTCTTCAAAAACTATTTTATTATTGTGGATATTTTAAATACATTTTTTAAGCGTTATTCTTGATTTGATTGATTGATTTTTTTTAATTGTTGGTAAAACGTGGATTTTTCGCAAATTCTTCAAGAACATGGACTTTCTTCAAAAAGAAAAAAAAAAATTAACGTGGAGGACCCTTTATCGACAATTTGAAATGCATAGTTTTTCTAAAAATATTTTGTTAGAAGGTGATCATTTCTTCCCTTTTTTTGAAGAATTCAAAACAAAACTCGTGAATTTTTTAATAAAGGTGGATTAATTGATTTTGAGAAAAAAATGTTTGAGAAAATTGACATTTTCCAAAACAAAAAAATTATTGAAAAAATTGAATAACGTTTCTTAAAAATTGAGTTTTTTCAAAATTAATTTCAAGAAGTATGAGACCGGTCGCGTGGAATTTCTGTAAATGTTTGAAGCACTATCAAGCATATTATCCCCAAATTTTAAAGACCATTTTGTCATGGATTTTGATTTTTTTTTTTTTAAATCTGCAAAAGAATTTTAAGAAAAATTTTTAAGGACCATCCCGCCTATAATCTTGCAACGTTAAAGCTAATTTGTTTGAAGGAGCATCTATGATTGTAGATTTAAAAAAAAACTTTTTTAATGACCAAAAGACCCATAATTGTGGATTTTTTCATATGATTTTTTAATATTTTGTTATATTATAAAAAATGTTTTTAGATTTTTATTTTTTTAAGATTTTTTTTTGAAAAGTGTTGGTTTCTGCAATAATTTTTGATAATAACTTTTTAAAAAAAAAAAAGTTTTTTTTTCTTGTTTTTGGTTTTATTGCAAACAATTGGACTTTTTATAAATTTTTATAAGAATTACTCAAGTTTTTTGAAAAATTATAAAAAATTGATTTTTTTAATATTCTAAATAACGCGAATTTATTGATTCATTAAAAAACGAGGATTCTTGATTTTTTTAAATTTATTTTTTTAAGATTTTTTTTTGTAAAACGTTGATGTCTGAAAGAATGATTTGAAAATAGTTTTTTTAAGATTTATAAAAACAATTTGTTTTGGTTTTTAAGAAAAAATTTTGGACATTTTACAAAAAAAAAAAATGAAGAATGTTACATTTTTAAATAAATTAGTTTCGAAAGTGAATTTGTTGGGAAATTTTACACAAAAATTGTGGAAAATATAGATATGTTTCAATTTTTTTAAAATTGTTTGCAAGACTTTAATTTTTTTTCGAAAAATTTTAAAGAATTTGGGCTTTTTCAAAAAGAAAAAAATAATAATAAAAAAAATTAAATTAAAAAATTTGAGGAATCTTTCAAAAAAATATGTATTAAAACACATAGTTTAAGATTTTTTTTTTTTTTTTGAAAAAACTTAAGCATTTTTCAAAAAAATAATAATAAAGATTGATTTAAAAGAATTTTAGAACGCGATTATTTAAAAAAATAAATATGGATTGTTTTATGAAGTTTTGAATTTTTTGGATAAACAATTTCAAAAAATGGAGGTGGAATTAAAAAAAATTGGAGACACTGATTTTTTTATAAATTTCTATGTAAGTTTTGAATTACCTTCTTTTTTAAATTAAAACTTTGAGAAATGTTAAAATTGTTTCCAGTTTTTTAAGTCACTGAGGATTTTTTTTGAAAAACTTGGTATTTTTTAGAAAGCCTTTTTTTAAAACGTGGATTTTTTTAAATATATTTTTCCATGATGATTATTTTTTAACATGATTTTTAAACATTTATTGAAGAGCTTAATATTTTGTCTCGCGGTTTTCAATTATTTATTCAAAATCAATGCAATAGTTTTTTGATTGTTTTGATGTAATTCTTCATTACAAGCCAAACAGGTAAACCTCAATACTTGATTTTTTTTCAAATTTAGCCTACCTTGTCTTCATTGTACCATGGTTGTATTATAATTTACGAATTAAGACAAATTGATTAGCTTTATATCTGGTTACATGTATTTATCTTTGTTTGACGAAAAAATTGTTTACATTTTTAGAGTCAATAATTTAAACATACAATTCATAGAGTGTTCACACTTGCACATGTTCACATGGTGTCTCTTTGGTGCTGGCATTCACTTTAGTTCATTCTTACATCTTATATCCAACTCACCAACCATCAAAAATATGAGACACCATGTAATAATAATAACAGGGTTACACTAAATGAAATGGGCGTTGTCTGCGATATGGAGACAGGGTGTCATTTCACTGTGAATACTTGACAACTGAATACTGTTTTTACAGCAGACATTGAACGTTTTGTTGAAAGAAAAAACAAACTTGGACGATTCACAAAACTCACAAAACATGTATTGTATCTCATGTACTGGAACCTGAATAAGGTTCATACATCATACATTTAGCGTAGAATTAAAGGAATTTGTAGCCTAAATGAAGCGTTAGTATGTCCATATTTAAATATAGGCGGTTTACTCTTCTTATTCTTCTCATTTGTTAACTATCATCTTTTATGTTCGTTTTTTATTCATAAAACTATCAAACATTCACAACTAACAAGGAACAATTATCCTTGTTTCTTCTCTCTACTCCTTTTATAAATTCTTATAGTCGTTATGTCCCTTAATTTGTTTGATAATGGTTCCCCTGTTTCAATTGCTCTTTCATATGAATCACGGCGTTCAATTAAACAAGTATATTTGTGAACAGCTGTTACTGTGTATTTTGTTGGTGCATTTGTGTACGTAGTTCACAGGAAACCCAACTCGCCGCCGTTGATTTGTTTCCACATGAAAAGCCGCCGCCGTCAAAAAAATAGTTCCACTTTATTATCTCTTCGCGCGTCTTTTGTTTCAAATGAAATAGTTCATTCTTTTTCTTGTAAATAATTAAGTTAGTTAAATTATTAACAAAATAATATTATGGATGAAGAATTCCTCCACTACCTGACACAAGGCAACACGGCAACGAACATAGGACCTACTGCTAAAGGTGAGAGAAACTCCAATAAGTGAAATGGTAAAGTACTTTTTTTCACAAATACTCGTCTTTTTTGTTTATTGCCATTTTGGAGTCAATTTAGTTTTGCCCAACATTTTCAGAGGCCCTGTTGCAACATGCTGAGGATGAATATCTCAATGGCAATATGACCCGTTCCATATTCTATCAAATCGTGGCCCTGTATCAAACATCGCAGGAACATTATTACAAGTCAACAACCAAACGTAGATCAGCGGATGTTGAAGATCTTTTGGCAGAGATGACTGTGGAGGAAGCGGAAGATTTTAAAGAGTAAGAAGAAGCAATATTTCGCACATTTGGCTGATGTACGTCAAACAAGCATAGCTAGGATTTTCTTGAAATGCTCACTAAATGTAGTCTACCTTAATTAAGGTCCTGATCACAACTATGTAAGCTTTTGGATCTGAGTCCGAATCAAAGTCCGTGACAGATCTTAGCCACGAGAGGATTTTGAACCTCTCTAGTCGAAATCTAAATATATAAAAGATTTTATTCAAAATAGGATTTTGAAACCGATGCCGTTCTTAGACCTGTCCACGGTAGTGGTAAGGTGGAAGGAGTATTTAGCGAAAACGGTTCTTTTTACCGTTGCCGGGTTTGAATTTGTCTATTGGCGAGTAGTGACAGTCTTGAAAGATGTTATTAATAAAATTATTTGAGGGAATTGCCATATTCATATAAACATTTGTTTTCTAAACAAAAATTGGCCATTTAAGTTCAGATCAAACCAAAAATACAAGAATTAAAGTTTGATTTCTAAACAGAAATTAGCTTTTAAAGTGCAAGCCAAACTAAACATACAAGTTATGAGAACTTGCGTGGAAATATATTCGTAAGAAAGTGAATAATTCTGGTTTTCTAGGTAGTCTTATGGACTATATATTTCCTCGACCTATATCGCCTAGAAAGTCAAATAAAAGATAAAAATACTGCAACAAAGCCAAACACCATAATTTTTAAATTTTTTTAAATTTTATTGAATGGAAACAAGAAATGTCGGAAATGGCATAAACATTTAGAATAAGTTTTGATTTTTTCGGCGCTTAAGTTCACAATTTTACCAGCTGTCGGACGAGTGGCTTAGAAACGACAGCAGTCTGAAGTTGGTTGCAGTTTTTTCATCTCAGTCTGTATAATAGATTTAAATATTTTACTCGATTGTTAGTATTGTTACCTTAAAATCAATTTTAAGATGAAATACACTTTCCAAGAAAAGACTGTAAAAATCTGGACCTGTATACATCATTTGGTTTTCAATTTGAAGCAACATCCCGGATTTGCCTTTTTATTTTACTTTTAACTTTATTCCCCAATTACCAATTTACTAATACAACTCAAACTATTACTTCTTATTTTACATAATTACTAACACACCAAATCTTCTACCACATTTCAGTAATTGTCTTATGCAATACGTCTGCAAATCCCTAAAAACAATGGCCAAAACTAAAAAGAAATCGTATGACAAATACGAAGAGATAGAAATGGAAACAGAAAGTAACTTTCTAAAGGGCATAACTGATCCCATGGAAGGAATACACAAATTAGAAGATATCTGCAAACAAATGCCTAAAGGTAAGTAATTTAACATTTTCTCCTCAAAATGTATCTAATATCTTCTAATTGTTTCAGAGTGGACAATATTGCAATTGTGCAAGGGACCTCGCACAGAAAACACTTTTTCAATATATCCGAAAATCCATGAATATGATGCTGCAATATATTTAACAATTTTAAAACATGCCCGCAGTGATAAATATCGTACCCCGATTTGTTTACGTTTCTCCAGCAATGACCAAAAAGAGTTGTTTGCTAATTTTGCCAGTATTGTTAATCGTTTTAAACATTGCATTAAAGTTGATCCCAAGGATTGGAATACCATTGAGGCAAGGAAACTGTATTGGAATATGCTTGCGGAATTGAATACGTTTATTGGGGTAAGCGGTTATTTTAATTTAATACGAAATTTTCGGATGATAATTCATAGGATAACCAAAAACGTTCAAAATTGAAGTTCCATACTTACAAAAACACCTGCTATTCCTTGTTTGTCAATTTCCTTATCAGTGGCTTATCTACAGCTTCATTCTTTTTTAATTGCAATGGAATCGGAGATCTTAGAAATTATCTCAAATAATAGCTATGGTACATTTTTCTATTATATTTCATGTTTCAAACTGGTTCAATTTCTATTTTGAGTGAAAAATCTTTCCTGTTAATTTTATAAAAAATGTTGGAAAATTTTTATAGTACCCACAAAATTTGGCATACGGTTGTGACAGCACTCGACCATATCTAGCTTTTATCAATGCAAATATTATATGTGTGTGTCAAATCCATTCAGGTGTGTCATTAGCTACAGATGTATGCCAAGAACAAGACTCTACGGGGTGAGATACAAAAAATGCAACAAAGTCAAACGCCATAATTTTTATTTTTTTTTTAAATTTTATTGAATGAAAGCAAAAAATTTTAGAATAAGTTTAGATTTGTTCGAATTGGTCACCTTTGGCGCGAATTATGACCTTCAAACGGCCAATGAAATCGTCACACGCTGACCGAATGTTGTTCTGCGGTGTTTTAGCCCATTCCCGCCAAAGCGCTTGCTTGAGGTGATGGAGACTTTGGTATTTTTTAGTGTCAACCTTGCTTTCCAATATCCAGACACAATAGTCCAACGGATTGGTATCCGGAGATTTTATTGCCCATTGTGCGCTGGAAATTAACCGAGGAACCCATTTTGTAACCATAATTGGGTGGCTCGTGCTGAGTCAAACATTTTGGCCGCAGACCTTGGAAATTTAGGCCAAAATGTTTGCGTGCCCAAGGCTTTAAAACAGCCTCCAGAATATTTTCGCAATAATATTCGGCATTTATTCGGATGCCACGCTCCATTAATACGAGCGGAGAGCGACCATCGGCTGTTAAGGTGGCTTACACCATCACCATGGCCGGCGCTTGAGTTCTGGTGGCCAACCTGACCTCTTTGGCAAGTAAACACGATCATTTTGTTTGTTCAGAAACAGCTGGACAACAAATATTTCCTCATCAGATAAAACCAAATTCGGCATTTCACCACTTTCGGCCAAGTGAAGCAACTCTTGCACTTTTTGGAAATTCAATGGCTTTACCCCGAGCTCATTTTTCAATATTCGCCGAATGGAATATTGTGATATGTTCAGCTCACGAGCCATTTTCGGCCACAGCGACGCGGGTTTCGATCAAGTCTCTTTTTTACTTTTCTAACCATTTTTGCTGATGCTGCTGTTTTGTTCCGTCCACTTCCCTGACGTCGGGCTACGCTACCAATATCACGGTAACGAGCGATTGTACGAGACACAAACGATTTATTCACATTTAAATGCTGGAGTGCTCTAACGAGTTTCCAGCCAAATATAAAGAAATCACACTATCACGCTTGAATTCCATCACGAATAACTTTTGTGTCTGGAAAATTCTCCACAAAATGCCTTTGTTCGCTTGTTAACAATATAATGTCACTGGAAAAATTTTAACAGCTGTGGGACGAGCGTCTTTGAAATGACAGTCTGAAGTTGGTTGTCGTTTTTTCATCTCACCCTGTACATACAAAACCTATTTAATTGCCTTAACATTCCTGCCAAATCTCCAATATTTGTGGTTTCAAAGAGATTGTCCCTTATACCTAGAATTTATGTACCTTTGTTTCAACCACTCTTTATGACGACAAACTTTGGATTCAAGTTGATGTATTGAAAATAAAATTAATTTTTTTCCATCGCTTTCCTTCCATTAAAAATGTGTCGCCAATAATTAATATATTGCTTTCTCTTTGCAGAAAATCCTTGCCGATCTCAAGAATTTATTTTTTCCCTGGAGATTTCTATTTTCTGGCACTTCAAATTTATCGTCATGTCGAAAAGTTTTCAAACGACGTTGGGAGAAAATTGATGAATTTTGTGACACCTGTAATTGGGATGAGCAGTCACGGATATTACTTTCCTTGGCCGCATCTAATATTAGGGATATATCTGAATTGGAAATCGATGCAATATGTATGGTGCTCACGGAAAATTTGCAACAACGGGAACAAGCCATAGATATATTAAATGAAATGCAACAGCAAGCACAGGGCAAGTAAGATTAGACAACCAAGATCTCATAATTAAGTTTGTTTTTATTTCAACTGCAGATGATTGCTGTAACGAATGTAAGGCCAATCGTTATCCCTGCATTCTGGTGGTAGATGAGGTAGGTTTCTGTTTTTCTTTTTGATTAATAAACTTTAATTTTAATTTCTTTATTTTCCTTAGCGCTTAGATCATTTCTTCTGGGAAGAACTAAATGTCTATCAAGAATTTACCCGCATTAATTCCATACAATGCCTCTGGAGGCTCTATAAGTACTACAAAAAAGACATTAAAAATGGTTATTTGAATGTAAATATAACCACTGGCGGCTGTGTTATAAATCCCGGCAAGTTATTTATCTATGACATGTTTAACCTTTTGTATTTATTTGTGTTTTTCTCTTCTTTTTTTTAGATCAAAATTTAAATAAAATGGAATTGCGTATGCGTAGCTTTTTCGAATATTGGCTGCCACATTGGACAATGATGGTTGGCCAGCGACCAAGTCAAGAGGAGCTATTCAATAACTTTTTCAAACAAAATTGCTACGTGTAAGTAGTTTTGTACTTTGACGACAAAAGTACCGCACACACACAAACACACACCACTTACATATTTACTCTTCAAAGAAGTGGTGACCCCGTTAATACTGAGTTTATTATTTGCATTCATTTTTTTCTTCATCCAACATTCTTGCATTTTTTCCCCTATATGTTCCAGTTATGCTGGTCATGGTTCCGGTCTACAGTATATAAGTGGACGTAATATTGCCAAATTTCAGATGCACTGTGTGGTTTTCCTATTTGGCTGTGACTCGTCGCGTCTCCATTCGAATGGCCTGTATAGTGAATTGTTGGGACCGCATTTGTACTATCATGCAGCCATGTGGTGAGTAAAGAGGAAACATTGATGTTGAACAGATACACACATACATGCAAACGTGTATGGAGTTACATACAGTAGAGATGTTGGTGGTATTTTTTTGGGACAAAACACTAGATGACAAATATTGAATTGAAATTTTATGAAATTGAGGCTGCTTGGAACAAATACTTTTCAATTTTGTAAAAAGAAAAATTCTCAGCCATCCAGTTTTTCTGTTGACTCTAGAAGTCCTCCACGTCTTCTGTTGACTCTAGAAGCCCTCCAGGTCTTCTATGACTCTAGAAGCCCTCCAGGTCTTCTATGACTCTAGAAGCCCTCCAGGTCTTCTATTGTATATAGAAGCCCTCCAGGTCTTCTATTGCATATAGAAGCCCTCCAGGTCTTCTATTGACTATAGAATCCTTCCAGGTCTTCTATTTACTATAGAATCCTTCCAGGTCTTCTACTGGCTATTGAAGCCCTCCAGGTCTTCTATTTACTATAGAAGCCCCCAGGTCTTCTATTGACTATAGAAGCCTCCAGGTCTTCTATTGTTTATAGAAGCACTCCAGATGTTTTATTGACTGTAGAAACTATCCTGGTCTTCTGTTAAGTATAGAAGTGCTTCAGGTCATCTATTGACTATAGAAGCCCTCCAGGTCTTATATTGACCGCAGATTTTCTATTGGCTGTAGTAGCCCTCCACGTTTTCTATTGCCTATAGAAGCCCTCCAGGTCTTCTATTGACAATAGAAACCTCCACGTCTTCCCGATCTCCTCAGCTCTTGAGCTCGATTTTCCTATAGGAAAAAGCTCTCGGTTCCTGTAGAAAAAAATCTCAGTTTAAACGAGGATATTTATCTAAAGAAAAACTAAATTTTCATTTTGAATTATTTCCTTGTAGCTCTGTGTGCTTTTATTGATTTACAACAACGATATTTGAACAATAACAACATAAATAATAGAAGTAAAAAAAAACTGTATCATCTTCATGTTATTGCTTGCAGTCCTGCGTTAGTTGGCACTCTAATGCCTTGCCTTGATTCGATTATGGATAAGGTGGCCACGGAAATACTTAGTCGTTGGATAGCGCCCAAATCGCCAAATGTTTTGCCATGGAATGAAATTGAAGTGAATGCCTGGGTAAAGGAGGGCATCATTAGATGTAAGTCAAAACTTCGAATCTTTCACACACACATACATATATACAATGCATGCATCCAAACACACTCTCACACATACATTCTTAATAGCAAAATTGTCATGTGTGTAATTATTTATTGTACGTTTGTTGTTTACTCATTATTTTATAGCCAAAAATGGGGGACATGTTGAGGCAGCAGCAGCAGCACTATCTCCCGTTGTCGCCACCACCAGCAGCAGCAGCAGCTGCAGCAGAGGTCCAGCCACAATAGCCACTACACCCGATTATCATTTGGGCAGTTTGTGTGGCATTTTGGCCCGTGTACATCAACGCATCAGCGAACCCAAACTCTACAATACCGTGCCATATGTATGTCGTGGCCTGCCCGTCTGGAATTGTCATGTACAACCCACAATGCCTATACTGTGATTAGTATATAAGTCTTTTGTTGTTATGCATGTGTATAAGTTGTAGCATATGTATATATAAGTTGGAAGTTAAAACAAATATCCTGTGAACCCGGGCAGAGATAAGACTTGTGCTAATGCAAATAGCGATGATGACGATGATGAAAAACTTCAAACGCACTACGCAAATATTTAAGATTACTTTTTCCTCGCAATCTGCTTCGCTGTCAATGTACATCATCCGGGCCTGGATGGCTCACTTTTTTAAGTATTAAAATCTGTTTATGAATTCCAAATTAAGTCTTAAGTTTTTCCACCATTGCGAAGATAGTTTTGCTACTTGTTTTCATCTGTTTTTTTGTGCAACACCTGCAGCTGTCTTTCTACTTGAGCAGTGAGTGAGTGTCACTTCCGCTTCACCTACATTTATTAGCATTCGTTTGCATTGTCGTTGTTGTTTTTGTGTTATAGCTGTTGCTGTTGTCATCATCTTTGGCTGAAGTGTGTTTATCTAACAAAGCACATCAAAACTAACAAACAAGCTAGCTAGCAAGCAAGCAGCAAGCACGCAAATAAACAAACGAACAAACAGATATAGTTCTCAGATATACAGATAAGCAAGCAAACTCACTGATGTTAATGATCCAAACCCTCCTCCAAGTTGCCATAACTAAAAGACAGCCAGTCAGACAGACGGAGAGAGAGGTAAGTGCAAATATTTCATTCTTTTCTTTTTTCGTTTTTTTTAATTCAACGAACAGGCGTGTTGAAGTATTTCCTATTTTACTTATAATCTGTTATTTTTGCATTTCTCCCCATTCTTTGAATGTTGTTTTGAATTAATACTTCGATGTTCTTTTAAGTCTTTGGGGTGCATTAGCAACTTTCGACACAATCGGAGTGTTGATGTTGAAGAGATTTATACCTTTTTTAGAGATTAAAATGTTAATTAAAGTGAGTTCGTTATGAGAAATGCAGAGTAGTTTATTAAAATTTTAACGTGGGTCCTAGGAATGAGATTAATGTTCGTACAAAAATATTTTAGGTTAGTAGCAATGACTGTCTATTGTTATGTAGCTTCAATTTCGCTATATATTGGAGTTGGTATATCCCCTTCAACTCAAGCTTTTTCCTGTATATGTTGGAAGATATATATTATTTAAAAAAGATCCAATGGTGAGCTAGCTAGTCTGATACGGAGAGAAATTGTGAGTCTGAGAATTGTAAATTCTGCAGAGTATGTTCATTGATTTCTTTCTTATCTTCAAATGTTCAAGAACTGTCTGGGAGTAAAGAAGTCCATTGGAGGAGGTTCATAAAGGATTATGAGAATGATCAGTGCCGTGTTTGCCCACACGAACTGTCTAAACGCCATGCTGACATACAGGCGTTGTATACCAGTTCTTAGACAATGACCTCGTCTTCTAATGACTATAGATGACCTCCAGGTCTTCTAATGACTATAGACGACCTCCAGGTCATCCATTGACTATAGAAGTTCATAGGGGTTTCTAATGACTGTACAAGACCTCCAGGTCATCTAATGACTATAAAAGACCTCCAGGTCATCCATTGACTATAGAAGCTCTCCAGATCAACTGTTGACTATATAAGCCCTCCAGGTCATTCACTGGCTATAGAAACCCTCCAGGTTATCTACTGACAATAAAAACCCTGAATCTATTGACTATAGAAGACCTCCAGCCCTTCTAATGATTCTACAAGACCTCCAGGTTTTTTTTTTTTGACTGCAGAAGGAGGTCTCCAGGTCTTCTATTGAGTATAGCAGGAGATCTCCAGGTCTCTTATTGTTGGTTATAGGAGCCGTCCGGGTCTTCTATTGACTAAATCAGCCCTCCAAGTTTTCTATGGACTGTAGAAGGCTTCTAGATCTTCTATGGGCTGTAGAAACCCTCCAGGTGTTCTACGGGCTATAGTAGTCCTCTGGGTCTTTGATGCACAATAGAAGTCATCCAGGTCTTCTATGGATTATAGGAGCCTTCCAGGTCTTCTATGGACTATAGAAGCCTTCAAGGTTTTCTATGAACTATGGAAGCACTTCAGGTCTTATATGAACTACAGAAGCGCCCCAGGTCTTCTATGGACTATATAAGCCCTACTGGTCTTCTTAGACTATGAAAGCTCTCCAAGTCTTCTATTGACTATAGAAGCTCTCCAGGTATTTTATGGACTATAGAATCCCTCTGGATCTTCTATGGACTATAGAAGTCCGCAAGGTCTTATATTGCACATGGAAGCTTCTAGATCTTATATTGCCTATAGGAGGCCTCCAGATCATCTGTTGCTTATAAAATACCTTCAAATTCTCTATAGCTTATAGAAGAACTCTGGATCTTCTATCGGTTATTGGCCCGGTTTCCAACCATTCCAACTGATTTTGTTATTTAGGGCTCTTAGCTCTTCTATGGACTGTATAACTGTATAATATAAGAAGTCCTTAAGGTCTTCTATGGAATATACAGGTCCTCCAGGGCTTCTACGGACTATAAAAGTTATACAGGTCTTCTATGGACTGGTCTTTTATGGGCTATATAATCACGCCCGGTCTTCTATAGAATATTGCCATAGAAGTTTCCAGGACTTATTTTACCTATGGAAGCCCTCCAGATTTGCTCTTCGGTTTCAGCCCCGATTTCCAACCGTTCCAACTGCATTTAATGTTTAGGGATCTAAATGGGCAGTTTAACTCCTCTCAAAAAAAATATTTAATGTAAGTCCATTTCTTGGTATAGGCCCCATGTAAATGTGCCTCCCTCTTTATTTTTGATATTTCGACGGTGGAGATCTTAATTCTTCGCTAAAAATATTCAGTTTAGGTTCCTTTTTTTGATATAGTCCCTATGTTGTGGTACCTCTCGGGTTTGAGATTTTTTTTGAGGTATTCCTAGTTTGCAGCAACGTCGCCTGTAATGTGATATTTCATGTTATTTTTGTGTAAATTAAGTCTTCTCAAAAAATATCAAATCCCGGTCCATATTTTAATATGGCTTCCACATGACTTTTAATATTTCGAAATTGTTGGTCCCATTTTCAACCAATTCATCTGTAATTTGACATTTCTGATTCGTATAGCCCCATATAACAATACTTCCATTGGGACGATTTCGTCCTTCCAAAAATTTTGGGATAGCCGATAGGCCATAAGTCAAGTTTGCATATGGTGGAGGGAATGAAAAGGTCGACCTGTTCTAATGTCGGTTTTATTTGTTCAAATTTATAATACAATTTTTCATTATTATTTTCATCTTCAGTCAAAGGCCATCTGCTGACCTAGAAGATTACCTGACATTAAGCTTTTCTTTAAAATCCTAAAGATTGTTTCACAGATTAAAAGCAATACTCTCACAAACATACATCCGTACATTTGTGTATGCACGTATATGTTAAGAAAATCCGCAATGTTTAATTTATAAAATACTTTAGGCTAATTATAAATATAAATTAAATGTTTAATAAAACATTCAACAAACTGAACTGTGTGTGTATTTTATTTGAACTAATTTTGCTTTATACTTTTTTTATATCTTGTAACCACTTGTGATACGAGTGTGTGTGTGAATGTTTGAAATATCTCCAAGAGACAGATGTGAAGGACACTATCTTGGAGATATATATGTGAAATATTAAATCTTTGCTTTTAACCCGCATTTAATAGCAGATATATAAACGTAACATTTCAAATCTCTTCAGAGATCAAAGGCCGGGCCAGCCAGCCAAGCCAATCCAACCTCCATCAGCAGCACAGACCAAAGTACAATTGTTAGTTTTTTTTTTTTTTTTTTTGGTTTGCAGGTGATTAACTTTAATGCTGCTTCTGTGTTCGTATGTAGGTATGTGTGTACCCACTGCCTGCAACAAATATCTGCAATAGCATAACACTTCCATAGCTTTTGATGATGATGACGATGATGGTCGTTTCTATCACTTGAATGGGACGGACACTACTTAAATAGTAGACAGCAAGTGATGACACATGGCATGTGTCGCATCAAAATTGTGAGAAGCACAAAAAAGACAATTATGAGAAGATAAAATGAAAATACCACAAAATCTGTGAAAATAGAATAGCATTTTGAGGAAATGTACACCACTCCACATTGTTGTGGCATTTTTTTCCATTCAATTTCCAATAAGAATAGATTGAATTTCACAATTTCCTCTCTATAGATATGTATTATATACAATTATGGTGTTGTTCTCTTCATTTTTTCTTCCATTCGGGTGTCCTGCAGAAAAAAATGAACTATTTTTTGTGTTTTTATATCCTCTAAGAAATCAATGTCTTTTTTATAGTCTACTATGTTGAATTCAAAAAACTCATCCTAGATGCCATAAAAAAACATTCTTGACCAGCATAAAATCCTATGTTAAATTAAATATATTCAGTTTAGGTTCCTTTTTTTGATATAGTCCCTATGTTGTGGTACCTCTCGGTTTTTAGATTTTTTTTTGAGGTATTCCTAGTTTGCAGCAACGTCGCCTGTAATGTGATATTTCATGTTATTTTTGTGTAAATTAAGTCTTCTCAAAAAATATCAAATCCCGGTTCATATTTTAATATGGCTTCCACATGACTTTTAATATTTCGAAATTGTTGGTCCCATTTTTCAACCAATTCATCTGTAATTTGACATTTCTGATTCGTATAGCCCCATATAACAATACCTCCATTGGGACGATTTTATCCTTCCAAATTTTTTTTAGGTTTTGAGGATATGGCCATAAGTCAAGTTTGCTTATGGTGGAGGGTATTAAAATGTCGGCCTGATTTAATGTCGATTTTATTGATTTAATTTTATAATACCATATTCCATTTTTATTTCTATCTTCAGTCAAAGGTCTTCTGCTGACCTTGAAGATTACCTGACATTAAGCTTTTCTTTAAAATCCTAAAGATTGTTTCACAGATTAACAGCAATATTATAGCTAAGACTCTCTCACAAACATACATCCGTTTGTGTGTGTATATGTTAAGAAAATCCGCAATGTTTAATTTATAAAATACTTTAGGCTAATTATAAATATAAATTAAATGTTTAATAAAACATTCAACAAACCGAACTGAATGTGTATTTTATTTTAACTAATTTTGCTTTACACTTTTTTAGTATCTTTTAACCACTTGTGATACGAGTGTGTGTGTGAATGTTTGAAATATCTCCAAGAGACAGATGTGAAGGACACTATCTTGGAGATATATATGTGAAATATTAAATCTTTGCTTTTAACCCGCATTTAATAGCAGATATATAAACGTAACATTTCATTTCAAATCTCTTCAGAGATCAAAGGCCGGGCCAGCCAG